TGCCCAGACCATTATCCACATGGACAACCCACCTGTCCACAGCTAAGATCTGCTGACGGCACAGGACTAAAAGGGCTACTCTTCCTCTGTGGCCTCCAGAATAAGACTGTGGACATCCACGGGCTCTATGACTTCTGTGCTTTGCCTCCGAGTGAAAAAGCTGCGAAGCAGGTGCCGGTCCCTCTGAAGCCGTGTCTCGAGGCTCCACCTGCCTCCCTGGGGCCGCACACACTCCGCTGCTTTCCCCAGCCTCCCTGCCAAGACTTAACGCAGTAAGTAGCTGCAGATTGGCTCTCACTATTCCTCAGTTACTGGAGGAAAATGCACAGTGTTTTGAAATGAGGAGGTTAAAGATCAAAACGGCGACTGCTCCTGCAGAGTTTAAATGTCAAAAAAATATGAACACGCTTGAAACCTTTCCTGGCTCTTTGTAATTCTGCCCTTTCAGATGGTCCCCCCTATTTCTAAGTTCCATTCTCTGAATCTGCTCTGCTGGAGACGTGCTGGCTATAAAAAGCTTCTTCGCCCTAGGATGAAGTGCAAAGAGCCTCCAGGGCATCACAGTAAATGATGGGAACCTGTCGGCATCCATGGACCCACAGCAAGATGTCCCCAACCCTCGGCCGCTTCCCCACACTCAGGTAAGGGGTCTAATGAGGAAGAGAAAAGGGCTTGCTGACAGTCCCCATTGCAGGCAAAAGGCAGGCCACATTTGGCTTCACGTGGTGGGGTCTGCGACAGGACTTCGGACGCTCCTCTTTAACCCAGGGAGTCAGGCATGGCCTGAGAATTTTACAGGTGTGCGCTTCCATTCTCTTAGCTCCTGACATCACTTTCCAGAAATCAGAAGGCGAGCGGAGACTCAGTTTGGCTCTGCAAAGTAGCGCCCCCTCCTCACCCCCCTGCTTTGTCACATTGCGGGAAAAGACCTGGGAGGGCTTCCCGCCTTCCCAACAGACCTCTCTCCGCGGTGGGCACTGCTGCTACTTGTGGGCAGGAAAACACACACAACACACAGTAACTGCAACCACCTAACGAATGCCAGAGAAAGGACGTCCTGGAGTTCGACACCGGAGCGACTCAGGGAGAGATTTCCTCCAAACGTATGGTGCGAGCTGGTGCTGGCAGCCCAGTATTCCCGTCTCAGAGGTGGGGCACAGTACGGCACCTACCACCATAGTTAGGGCACTGGAACTATTTTCTGCCTGAGAAATCCCCTTAGTGATGGTCAAGGAACCTCCTTGACCACGTCCCTGTTCGCTCCCCATGCACTTGTACTGCTGTTTCAGGTTGAGCCTTTCTGGATAATGCTGATGACCAACCCTCTGCCCACCCCGCCACTTGGACGGGAATAAGCAGACAGCTGACGGCAGGAGGGAATGTTTACCACAGTGTTCTCCAACGGTGTCTTTCTGGGAAATGCTACAAGCAACGTCAATCAGGACACCCGGAATTGAAGTGGGTGGACAAGAAGGAAATAGAATTCTGAGAAAAAGCTGATACTAAAAAGCAGAGTTTAGAAATGTTGCCACCTAATTCTTCTCTTTTGGCATTTTGAGTTTGAGATGCTAAACATCATCCCATAAATCGCACCAGGCCTTCAGAATCTGCAACGGAGAAAGTGATCTCAGCTTCGCTTTCAGTGCAGTCTGGCTGCCCTCTGACCACCACCATGGCCTGAGACTAACACAGTGAAATGAGCACGTTGCAGTCACCCCCTCCACGATTCCACACTGCACATTCTTCATCCTCTCTACCAACGTCTTCCGCAAGCACGAAGATATGAAATAGACTTTTCTTATTTTTACAAAATCCCAAACCCTTTCCATGTGATGATGGTTAGTTGAAAGCTTTATTGATATGGGATTAAGCTTTATTCTGTACTACATTACATTCCAAGATATTCCTTAATTTGACAGCAAGCAGACAATGCTTTGGCAGGGAAGAGAGAGGACTCTCCAATCCCCTAATTCTCACCAGCCCCTGAAAAAGGACAAGGACTTCGCTAGCTGCTTTTTGTTCTAATCACAAAGCACTACCACTTGTCCCCAAACTGTGGTTCTTTAATCCAGTACAGGGCAATATCAGAGGTCCAGTGGGTTTAGCTAAGAATAGGCGAAGGGAGAGAAGATAAAGGGACCTCAGAAAGGCCTCTGCACTTATACAGACAATGCGCCACTTACCAAGGGAGATGGCCTCCGTCCCTATGAACGACCCGTTTTGCTGCCTCAGATGTTATGTTAGCCACAAGAAAGGGTCTGGTGAGTGCTCCTAAATCTCTCCAAGCAGACTAATAGCAAACTGTGAACACTGCTTCGGAGTGTTTCTAGTTTTAAACAAATACAGAGAGCACCTGGCAGGTTACTTTTAGGGGAGGTGGAAGAAAAATACAGCACTGTCTCTCCACATCTGTGCTTCACCAAATCTGTGTTTCACACATTTCACAACTTCCTAATAAACTTTCCGCTTGCATTCAAAAATACTAAATACCACACAGAACGTTAAAAAGTACATATGCAAAGGCAAGCCTGTGCAAGCCCCTCCCTCATAAAAGGTATTTGAATGGAAATAGGGCCATTGTTAAAAGACAAGGTTCTGGGTCTGCAGTGCTGGCGGCCCTGAGGTCATCGCCCCCTTTCTTCTGAGCCAGAAGAAGGTAACTCGTTGCAACACCAGAGGACACTGAAATAAGCCAGGTTAGAAAAAGGAAAGAAAACTGTTTTAATGTTCCTCACTGTTCAAGGGAAACAAGATGCAGATAATGACCAGTGTTCTTTCTCCTTAGAAGGTTTTTCAAGCTGCTGCTGGGGGAAAAAATGACAAAAGCAGTCAGCCACGGACAAAGTTAGCACTGAGGGCCGAGACTTTCCGCACGCTGAACCTGCCAATGCGTCAGGTCTGGCCCCTCCGATAAGAACGCTGAGAGGACAGTGCAGGCGCCGGCACAGAGCCTCCGTGAGACCTCAGGCTTCTCCCCTTCAGGCCCCAGGCCGGGAGGCAGGGGTCTCCCCACTGTGCTTCTGGAGCTCGGCAGGGCAAAGGAGCGCTGGAAGGCTTAAGACGACGATTTTCTCTTTAAACGAACTTTGAATTTTGGATTAGTTTTAGCTTTACAGGGAAGTTGCAAGGACGGCACACACAGTTCCCACGTACCCCCCACCCAGTCGCCCCACTGTTAACACCTTTCACTACCAGGTACACTTGTCACAACTAAGAAACTAATATTGCTCACTTCTTCTTAACTAACCTCCAGCAGCTGTTGGGACTGCACCAGTTTTCCATGAACATCCTCTCTCCGTTTCAGGACCCAGCCCAGGGTAGCACCCTGCGTTTGGCTGTGATAAGATCACGACGTTTTCATGCTTATCTGTGTGCAGTTGAGCGCGGGCCCCTCCCCTGGCCCGAGGCCTAGGTCCTTTGTGTACCCTTTCACTGTGGAGGGGTCCTGACGGACCTTCCGTCCGGTCTGTTAGAGGGCTGGTCCCTCACGCTCCTTTGCTACAAAAGCCTTACGCTCAGTGCTTAAGGGGCACAGGGTTTCTTTTTGAGGTGATGAAAATGTTTTAGAAGTAGAGAGAGGTGGCGGTTGCAAAACCACGGAATTGTTCACTTTAAAATGTTTCATTTTATGTTCTGTGAATTTCGCCTCAGTGAAAAAAAAAAAAAAAGCTTTATGTTCTCTGAGCTATCACTCAAGTGGGAATAACTTGGGTCCAGCTTTCAAAATCATGTCCCTCCTCCGCATCAATCCGTCAAGGGCTTCTCACTGAATTGAGAATAAAATCCAAATTCCATCCCAGGACCCAGAGACCCCTGCCCGCCCCGGGCTCTGCCTCCCACCTCCACTGCACGCTCCAGCCACACAGGCTTCCAGCAGTTCTTAGGCACGTTCCTCAACACAAGCTTTCCGGGCGGTCGCATCCATCGCCTGGGACTCTCTTCCCGAGGCTTTTCAAATGGCGGGCTCCTTCTCATGCTTCCCGTCTCGCTTTAGCTTCTGCTCCTGTGACTCCCCAAGGTGAAGGAGACCCTCCTGCTGTTCCCCCATCACAGCCCCCAGTAACGACCTGGAGTTATCTTATTTCCTAGGCCTCCTTGTCTGTCTTGTTTTTCCCTGTATTCCTAGCACCTAGCAGAGTGCCTGCCACATGGCAAAGGGGCTCATTAAATAATTGTTGTTGAACTTGATGAGGCAATGAATGAAATTACAACCCACTCTATTATTTACACTGCTGGATGAAAGCAGAGACAGAGAATGGATGAGACAGAAGAAAGCGGATGGTACCCTGTCGGGGAACTGGCCTGAGTGCTGTGGGAGGTGCTGGGAACCCTCATAAGCCCCAGGAGTTGAGCTGGTCCAGGGAAGGGACCCTTTCACCATCAGAAATTGGGAAATGGATTTTCTCTAGTCACATTTCACGTTTTCTGACATTTCCCAAACAGTATTTCATGAGGAGGCCCAATATTTGAAAAAGATATCACCAGAGCACAGAGTAGGGGTCGGGGGAGGGTGAGGGCAGGGCCATCCTGCTTCCCTCAGCCCGTCCCTAAGGCACCTGAGTAGACCACAAGGGCTCTGGGAAACTGAGTTAAAACTGTGGGTCAAACTTGGAACAACTCAAAAGCCTCTGATTTTTTTTAAAGGTATAATTTGCATATAGCAAAATTCACCCTTTGTAGCTGTATAGTTCCATGAGCTGTGTAATCACCACCATAATTCAGACAGAGACTATTTCCAACACCCGGACCGTTCCCTTGTACCCCTCTGGGGACAATCTCCTGCTCTCACTCCCAACCCCTGGCAACCACTCATCTGACTTCTGTCCCTAAGGTTTTGTCCTTTCCAGAATGTCATATAAATAGAATCATACAGTAAGCAGCCTATTGTGTCTGGCTTTTTTCATTTTTAAAAAAGCCTTTGATTTAAGACCAATGTTTATACCTCAAAGCATTCATATTTCCCTTAATGCCTCCTGAGTAAGAAGCGAAAGTAGACTTACCTTCTGGAATACCTGATAGTTGGATTTGGACCATATATCAAGCTGAGGGGAAAGAGAGAAAAGTATCATCAGCATCAATTTTATAATTCTGGACTTTAAGAAATGATGTTGTAACTACTACTAAGCTTGAAAAAAAACAAAAAACAAAACCATGATTATAGAATAACAGAATCCTGGGGTGGAAAGGATCTTAAATGTCCTGCTTGAATTTCTTCTTTATCCACCTGTCGGTGATCTAAGGAGACTACATGCAGGGATGTAGAGAAGTCAACCTGAGGCACTTGTAGCATCCAAGGTCCCAGGAGCTGAGCCTCCTGCTCACTTTTCTCACCTTGACTCCTACCACGGTTCCCTTGCATCACTCAACATGCCAAGATCAATCGTGCCTCAGGACCTTTGTGCTTGCTGTGCCCTTTACCTGGGTTGCTTTTCCCACAAACCCTCACATGGCTCCTCCTCCATTTCCTTGAGCTCAAATGTCACCTTATCAGAAAGGCAGTTCCCACTTACTCTAGCTAAAATATTATTCCCATACCTGTTGTCTTGGTTCTCTTTATCCTTCCAAAAATTTAAAATTTTCATAGCATTTAAGACTGACTGAAACTTGATTTCTTTCGTTTACGCTGTCCTGGTTCGAGACCCAGCATTTCATAGGCATCAACAGGTCTTTGCTGAGTGGAGGAAAACTCCCAGCTCCCAGCTGCTGAGCATGTTCCATGCCAGGCCCCGCACCAGGCCCTCCACACGCTCCTCTCATTTAATCCCCAGAACAAGCCGCTACAGCTGGTCCCATGAGCAGCTGCTTTCCAGATGATGCGACAACAGTTCACAGCCATTCAATTGCCCAAGGTAATCTGGAGAGGCTTCTTACAAATGGTCTCACCTGGTGGTGCTCAAACTTGGCTGGTGTCAGAACCCCAGGGGGAATTGTTTTGTATTTTAATGTACAGATTCCTTGGTCCCTCCCTTGGAGTGTGTGAATTAGTAGGTTTGGAGTGGCTTTGAACGTGCTCCCCAGGTTAACTGTGATGGCTGGTCCGGTCAGGAACCCTGGATCCAAGGCTCCTCCACTTCACCAGTGAGGAAACTGGAGGTCTGAGATGACATGCAGGTAGGGCTCAGAGCACACCCAGGTCCAACCTCCTCTGTCCACACTTGGTCCTGCACAGGGCACTTCAGCGGCGCATTCTAACCAAACCATTCTAGTTTCACAGTTTTGTATGACAAATTAAACCAGTGCCTTCTCACTGTTTCAAGAGTTTGGAACAAATTAAGTTGGCAAAAATAGAATTACCCCCAATACAGTGCTGGGAGATAGCTCAAGGATAGTGCAGATAAAAGAGGGACTGTCAGTATGCCCCATGGGTGCTAAAAAGTCAACTTTAATATATGAGTTCAGGAGTTGAACAACCTGAAACACTTGGTCAATGGGGCTCTTGGAACCTGCCTTTGGGGTTGGCTAGTGGTCAAGGTAGAAACCTGAGCTGTGGCCATTTAAGCCTGCATGCTGTGTTATTGATTTTGAAGCACATGGGAACACGTGAAGCAATCACGTGGGAAGAGTCTCTTAGAAGACAGGAACTGAAGCATTGCAGTTGACATGGGACAGGTTCAGAGGTGTTTCTATTCTGAGGAAAACACCAAGCTTGGCTTTCTGAAAATAGTCCTTGGAAATTAAAAGTTGGGCTGTGAACAGGCATACATTCAGTTCTCCCTGGCTTCTTCCTGTTCACAATTAGTTTCATGTAAGTTTCACTGTGTTTGAACATCCGTAGGACAGTCCTCGAGGAGGTTAGGAGGAGTGAGGAGGCCACTCTGGACTTCCGCAGGGCTCCTGCTGGAGGGGGCGAGCTTTAGCTAACCCAAGTCCAGGAAACATCATGGGAGAACTCTGATGGACCAAACACTCATTCAGATTTGTCTCTCTCCCCATCACCACTGCTGTACCATCTCCTTCCTGGATTTCCACAAAAGTCCCCTAACTGCCCCAGCCCCTTCTACTCTGGCTAAACTGCTCCCCAGGAAGGTGGTGTCACTTTTCAGTCACTGCCCCTGCTTAAACCAACTGATGAGGAAAGAACTTAAAAAAGCATCAGAATTTTAATTTGACAGGTCAGCAATCTGTAGGGGACAAAGCGACATGTTACCTCCAGATAGCTCTAAAGGAAACCTCAAAACAAACATGAAATTCGTTCCGTAAACCATCAATTCTGTTGACGAAAACTACTGCTGAGCGGCTCTGCTATTTGGGAGGACGAGTCAGGCTCACGCTCCGTTCTTGGAGCGGCAGTTCAGTCCAGGGCTTCAAAAATGCGGCATTTAAAGATTATTCAGAGATTGCAGATGAATAAGAACGACTTTTTGCATCTTTTAGTTCTACCAACTCACTGCCAAGATGACAGGGAGATGCTAAAGATTCTAAATCTAAACGTTAGGAAGAGTAACATCGAAGTCTGAACTGGGAACTAAGTTCTCCTTTCGGTTTAAGCCCACAGCTGTTTCTTCTTAAGTTCTCCACTCTTTATCCTCCTGCCTGTTCACATGACACACAGGTAGACCAAGACATAAACACAGGGCCACGAGAAAAGAAAAAAGAATCTACATACAGACGGAAAAGTTACAGTTTTTATTTAAAAGAGATAATTATTTAAAAAAACCTTCAGTACCTGTAAAATGTTTTAATAGAAAAATCATCTCGAGAGAAATATGCATAGGTTTAATTAAGAGATGGGCTCTCCAGCCTAACTGGCTTCTCAAAATACACTGGGCTTATTCAATCTAAGCATGCCGCTCTTTTTGAAAGGTGGTTTAAACATTATTCAGGACCCTAGGGAACCGTTCTGACCATCTGGGACAGAAGGATGTTAGACAATATGCCCTGTTTACCAGGTGCACACGGTAAGAGCGGATCCAATAACAATGGGTTCCCCTTTTGCTGTGAACACACAGCAGGAGGTTTGTACTTGATTTTCTGCTAGATTTATGCCAAAGAAAGCCATTTAAGCAAGCGTTCTGGAGTCAGTGCCCTTCCTCTCCTCAGGGCCAGGAAGGTTTCAGAAATTCATTTCAGGGAGCCGGGACTCACCCAAGTGAATGTAAGCTTTATCTTATTTGCTGCAAAGGCGGAGGTGGCTACCAATTTTTTGCTGGCTGCGATATTCAAAGAGGAGCATTCTGGAAGCTGTAAACTTTCAGCCTGATGAACGAGAAATTATTCTGAACCATAGTTCAGGAAAAAGAAGGTAAAGCACCCCTCAGTATTCTGGGCAAGCATCAGAAAGATCTTAAAATAGAAAAGTCAACCTTATGGTAATTGGTGGCTGAATCTGCAGTCTTAAGAGCAGCTCGGGGACTCTGGGATTGGAATGAGTATTTTAGGTGTGGGCATGTGGTCCGCTCTTAGGTAAAATGAAAACAAACCCCACAGATGACCAACTGCTTTAGCATAGACACATGTGCTCTCAGGTCAAACACCAAGACATCAAGGGCCCTCTTGATACACAGGAAGAACGTGTGAAAATAGTGACAATCAGATTTACTCACTGAAAAGAAAAATCAGAACGACGCGATGTCAGCAGGCCAGAGAATGTTAACTACGACAATGACCCCCACCATCAGAACCTCTGTCACAGCCAGCGAGGGCAGACAACATTTACTGATGACTATGCATTTAGCCTGCACTGTACCTGTATTATCTTTTTAAGTCCTTCCAGCCAGTGCATAAGGATGCTAAAATTATTTCCAATTCATGGATGAAGAAACTGAGACTCAGAGAAGTTAAGCAAATTGTCCAACACCACAGAGTAATCTGTAGTGGGGAATTCGAAACCAGGTCTGTCTCCAGAGGCCCAGCTCTTAATCTGGGAGGAAGACTGCCTTTCAGCTAGAACGCAGACGGAGTGTGGACTCGGAGCACCCCCTAAACTGTCACAGCTTTTCTGGGGGCACTCTTGCAAAGTTCAACGTGACTAATCTGCTTCGAGGCCTGCTGACGTGACAATCACCCCACTAAAGGTCATTTAGCAGCAAGTGAAGATTTTGGCAGCTTATCAGAAAGTTACCAATTCTTCCATTCAAAAAATAGTACAATAAACCATAAATTATCTAAAATTGACACTTCCACATAAAACCTGTGAGCCTCACAGGGACTTCAACTTTTAGAGCTTTTATTTATTAGTAGCTTTATCTTGCAAGGTCGACAGGAGATGCGTCAGTAGGGCAGAATGCTGAAAACCAGCAATGGTGATGGAATTCTCCACGGTTACCCAAGGTTTCAAAATCATAAACTGCTATTTGGTCATCTTCTTAGGTCTGCCCACTCTCCTCTGGAGGATAAGAAGTGAACAAGTCTTACAAGAATGCAGTGTTACAGGTCTGTTATTCTTCAACTTTTCACTTTCAATCAGGACATACATTTGTTACTAAAAACTGCTGAAAGCACAATTTCGGGGCATCCTCTGCATATGAATTAAACCGGATTCCCCTTCTCCAGCTTCCCCCTTCGCCCGTAAGTAACAAGAGGCCATTTTTCTGAAGGTCGTCTGAACAATTTCAAAGGCTATAACAAATCAAAATGTTCCCTGCATCTAATATCAAACGGGGCTGATGCCAACACTTATTAGAGAAATCAGATTCAAGCTTCCCCAACCCCCTCGACCCAAACACACACACACATCCAACTTTGAAGTGGGAAGAATGCGGGGATCAGAAATTACCCTGGAGACAGCTCTGGCTGTCTTTGAAGGTTCCCTTTGATACCACCATTTCTTTTCCTCTCTTACGCTAGGAGGCTAAAAGCTGCCTTTTTTATTGATACGGGGTAATTAATGAAGCTATAGCATTAACATAACCTAAATCCCCTAATAAGAAAAATTCAACCGAGACACTTGGATTTCTTCAGTTAAATCTGACTGGTACAAAATCAGGACAATGGCCAGGTAGTCAAAGTAAATCTGCCTTTACAATATGCTGAGTCATGGCTCTTTGCTCCTCCCTGATTACAATGAATAGCAAGTCTGTAACTCCTAAAACCATTTTTATATTTTAGTAGAGGAATTAGTCTACTGGTGCTTGGTATCAAATATATGCCATCACAGGTAAAGGTGGTTGTTATTGCAAAGTGCAAAGTGATAGCCTTCCTGGGATGTGATGGGGAACAGCCTGCCAGGTCTGGAAACTGCGGGTGGCGCTGGGCCACTATTGTAGCAACAGGGCTAATCAACCCTTTCAGACTCTGCCGGCTGCTTTGGGTTTGGAGGGCATGGACAGCTACTTCTGCAGAGACTCTGACCTCTGTAAACCCAGCGAGGCTTTCCAAGCCACAACCACTGTGTCAGTGGCTGAGCTCTCCAGACTGCAGTAAACGCCACCCCTCCCCCACCCCCCCAGCTACCACTTAGGCATCAACTCAGCGAACGCAGGCTGCATCTTTGGAACAGCAAGACTGCAAGCAACAACTTGTTCTTGTAGGCCACACCTCAAACTCCAACGGCTCCTTCCAACGTTGCATTTTATTTGGGAGGCGCTCGACATTTCAACACATTAACTGCATTAACGCTTAGGTAAATAGATATATATATGTTCACATATACCAGTATCAGTATTCAAAACAGAACACCAACAATGTCTGCATGATTTTATTTTTATCCTTTGTAAAGGGTTCCGGAGAAAAGGGGCTAATCAAATTGGCTGGGATTAGCTTCTAGGCAGAGCAGTCATTTGAGAGCTTCTCTGCCAAATGTGGTTAACGTACCTTCAAACAACAAATGGACTCGGTCCTCTCAATCTTGCTATTCCCAGTTTTAGGGTCCCTGCTTACACTTGGGCCAATGTATGCCGTTGTACAAGGGAGCAAGAGGCCTCACATTCATGATAGGGATCATAGTAGAATTCAGCTCCCAGACACACACATTTTCTTTCTGATAAACAGAGCACCCACGCTAAGCGCTCATTAAGAAAATACGTGCCGTGTGCGCGCATGTCTCCTTTATTCTTTGATTTATTTACACCTTCACTTCCTGCTGCTTCTTTTAGTCCCTATCTCTAATTTTTGATTCTCCACTTTCCCATTCCTGCTAAAGCATTTTCACATCCCAGGCAGACCTCTTCATTATCCCCTCTCACACATTATCGGGCTTCTACTGTGTTCCAGGCCCTGAGGGATATCCTCAGGATACACAGTCACAAGACAGGTGGGCCCTTGGGGAGCTCCTGGCAGATGAAGGTCTGAGATCTGGCTCAGCGTGACTGTGGGCAAGTCACTTTACCATTTTAGGTCTCAGTTTCCTTATCTGGAAAGTGAGTCTAGGATTCAACCACCACTGCAAGCAAAGTTTGCTTAGCACAAGGTCTATTAGACCAATACATGCAGTACGGTTAGTATTTTTATTAATTTCAAGATAGACATGTAAACAAATAGTCATAATGTAGTAATTCCAGTATTAGGAAGAGATTGTTCAAAATGCTATGGATGTGTTAATGATGATAACTTGTGCTGGAAGCAGAGGCAACGCCAGGCCTGCCATCTCAAGAACCCACGCGAAGAGTGTGTCAGGTGGACAAGGTGGGGAAAGCACCTCAGGCCAAGGGCACAGAGGGTGCAAACGCATGAAAGAGTTCAGCATGTCCTGGGAGCCACAAGCAGCACATAAGGAAGACGAAATGTGTGTTAGAGAATGATGGCAGGGGGGTCAGAAAGGGAAGCGGGGCCAAATCACCAGGCATTTCTATGCCTTGCTAAGGAGTTTGGATTTTATTCTATAAGTCAGAGTTTTCAGAAGTGTGTTCTACAAAATGCCAGTGTCATGAAATGCTCTAAAGATCAAGGAAGAAAACAAGAACTTGGTGGTCAAGTAAGTTAGGAAAATATAGCCCTCTTGGGAGATTCATCAGGCACCCAAGAAAACCAAAACCACTAAAAATTTCTACAGTCAGGAACCTACTAAACTTTCTCTAACCCAGTGTTTCTCAAACTTTTTTGACCACGGACTGCTTTGTGCCTAACATCCAGTCACACCCTCCTTTCCTACTTTGGGAGGGCTGCTTTGGGCAATGAGGAGATGATGAAAAGCAAGAAATCATGTGCTTGGATGTGCATCTTACGAAGATAGCTCTGGAAGCCAAGTCAAGGGCAGACTGCGGGAGGGAGGGCAGACTGGGGACTGCGGTGAGGAGGCTAGCGCCGTCACCCAGCGGAGAGATAGAGAACCGAAGGAGTGGGGACAGACAGGACGGCCCAGCTGGAGAGAGGGTCAAGAGGGAGAACTGCCAGACCGCGCTGACAGACTAGGTCTGTGGGGAGAGGGGGAGGAAGGTGGAGCAACTGGGTGGTGACACAGTTAGCCGAGACAAGGAACAGCAGAGGGAAAACAAGTCCAGAGAGGAAGCCGATGAGTTTCGTGTTGGCCAGGCTGAATCTGAGGTACATTTAGGGAGAGAAGTCCGTCCTAGACACAAATCAGGAGTGATCACTATGGGGGTGACACGTGAAACCACAGGGGTGGACAAGAATGGCCAAGGGGCATGAGAGGAGGGAGACGAGAACCCTGGGGATCTGGGAGTCAAGGGCAACTGAGAGGGAAGGAACCATGTAAAGCAGTTGAGGAGGAGTCATCTGAGAGAAATTCTAGAAGTATACACACGAGACTAACTTCTAATCCCCTTGTTTTAAGTGCAGAATAAAAATTATACTTGTTATCAGTTCAATAAATTTGAATTTACCAGGTGGCAAAGTGTTAAGAGCTTTCTGTCTTATTTAGGACACTTTTAGTATGGGGCAATGAAGTAAATATAATGTTAAAGATATCAGGCAAAGTAGGTAAAATCTCTCCTCCTTGTAATCTGAATTCAGAATACGCTTCATCTGCATCCTGAATTTGGCATCTCTGACAGCATGGTCATTGTTGTTACTTAACTTTTTCTGTTTTATTCTTTATCTCCTCCATTCACTTGTACGTCCTTGGAGAGCAAGGGCTGTGTTTCACACACTGTGTGACTATAAACTTGTAAACCTTGAACAGAGACAACGCACAACCACGCCTCTCAACGACCGCCCACTCAGGGGCTCTTGGCCAGGTACGCACCGCCCCAGGGTCGCTTCTGCTGTTGCTAAGTAGTTTGGAATTTCTTGTTTAGAATTGCTGTCAGAGTTCATGAATCATGCACACGTGGATCATACCTGTCCTGATTATGCACTTTATTTTCCACAGTTGCTCCAAAGACATTTTAGTTTTTCCAAAAAGAAAGAGGAAATCTCCTCTTAAGGCACGTTTTGCTCTCAACGGGGAGAGTTGCGAGAACTTGGCAGAGTCCTTGGAGTAAGAGTAGCTTCCCGGGCTGACAACACTTGTGTGGTTGTGGAAATACTGGATTACTTGTTCAAAACACAAATCTCACTACTTCCTGGGTCACAGCTCTTATATAACACACTGTTCTGTGTGCTAAGCGACATTTGTCACCTTTTTTTGAAGAACATCCTGTCCTCATTATAATGTGGCCGTTGGGTGGTGAGTGCTAGCACTAACAAACTTTTAAGTTTTAATGGATTCACGAAGAGGAGGGAAAGCTCCTGAGAGAAGGGCACACATAAGCCCGGTGCTGGGAAGTGAGCAGGTGCGCCTGGGTGGGTACCTCAGGCAGAGTCCTCATTCCGCTCGGGAAGCAAACACAAATGAAGGCTGTCAGCTCCCATCAGCATCCTCTGATGCTCTCTATAGAGCCATATGGACAGCGTGTAGTCAAGAGAGATTAGGGGTTCACACAGGTGAACTTTCCATGAGACAAATCACCCATGGAAAGAACTTATCCTTTTTCAACTGCAGTATTCAATACGTGCTGCTGTGGATAAGCGGCTTCCTGAGGGCTCCTCGTTAGCTTCGTGGAAAAAGATTGTCGGCAGGTTGTGTGTCAGACTAACTCGAATTTTCCTCATGGTTCTAGGAAACGCAAAATGCCGAACCCTGGGCTATTGATGTGCTGCTCGACCAGGCGAAAAAAAAGAAATCCATCTCCTCAGAAGACACATTTAATGAGGCAACTGGGGTCTAAGGTGATAAATTAGAAATTCAACTAAGGGCATCAGGCTTAAAGGAAAAAGCAGAAGCTTGATGAAAAATGCAAGGGGGGAGAGAGAAATGTTTTTTGTAAAGCATTCATCTTTATACTGATAAAGCTATGCTTGTTGATCATTTCAGCTATGATTGCTAGTGTTTAATGTCATTCATCTGGGACTCCACTACATTTGTTCTGGGATACGCAAAATAAAGGAAGAAGAAAACAAAGACTCCGGAATGCTTACCTTGCCATCTTCCGTATAGACATTTTCATTATACCCCTTCACTATTGTTCGATCGATGAAGAGGCTCCGCATGACAACGATCACTTTCAACACCTTTCCCAAGGTCACCTGTCAAAACACATGCATGTAAACATGAGAGTTTACACTTGAACATGCAAACCACATGAAGTTGGGCATGACTATCAGAAGAAGGCCCACCTCTCCCTCCTGTTCCGAGAGAGGCACAGAGGACACTGAGGGAGGTGCGGTGGCTGCCCCTTGTACTGGCACCCTAACTATCTAAGAACAAACTCACAACAACAGCAAATTCTCCCGTTGTCACTTAGAGATGGTGCGGGCCCCAAGTCATCTAACTCCCCTGAACTTATTTATATTGTTGGCTTATAAACCTCAGGAGAAGTTCCATATGTTTATTGTCTGCTGGATAAAGTAACATTTCCTTTTATTGTCTTCTGTCTTAAGATTATCTTCTTCAAGGCCGTCCTAGGATCCTGGCATTCTACGGTTTGGTGAGCACATCTGTTTTCATATTACGTCATGGTGCTATGTACACTCATGGAACACACAGAGAGTACAATAGAGAGATTAAAGGCAGGCACCAAATATCCCTTGGTTGAACTATCTGTTTTTAATAGCTGGTAAAAAGTGGAGAAGCAATACCAAATAAGTTCTTGAAGGTAAATGAACAGTAGCTGAATTTTATCTCCAAAAGGGAACATCATCCTGGAAATACATTTAAGTGCTTTTACTCTTAGAACCTAAGCACGTATTATGGATTTTTAAAAAAGCACCTTAAAAAACTGCAGTTTCATATATGCCAGGGAAAAAGTAACCCGCTGTGCTTGCTGGAACAGGCTCAGTATCAAGAACAGAAACAGCACCCTCGTTCCTCTCAGTGGCTCACATAAGCCTTCTGACACTTTGCCTAGCCCCTTCTTTGCATTTCCTAGATAAGACCCTAGAGGCAGGCTCCACACAGGACCCAGCCAAGGCCACGGTCCGGGTTGTTCCCATGAGGCTCTGACATTACAGAACAAGCGGAAAGGTGCCCTCCAGGGCTGAGTAGGACAAGAACCTCTGCCCCACACAGCGATCCCGGTCCTGCAACTCCAGCATGCCGTCTGCTTCTGGGGACGCCACCTTCCATCATCCTGTCCTTACTTCCCCATTCCTGGCGGTTTTTAACTGTCTCCAGCAACAACCTTCTTTTTCTGATTAGTCCAGGGTATCAATGAACATTCTTAATATCTGGTTCCTTCAATAACTTCTAGTGCTAAGCTGATGTTTCTATTTGTGTGCCGAAAATGGCACAGGTAAGAAAAAGACACGACACATTAATTACATTTAAGAGAATGTTAATAAAAACATCTTATTTCTCAATAGTACTTTTAAATTAAAGAAAAAAAATGTTTTTTCTCCCTAAAGCCCCAGTACATAGTTGTATATCCTAGTTGTAAGTTGTTCTAGCTCTTCTATGTGGGATGCCGGCACAAGCATGGCTTGACAAGTGATGTGTAGTTTGCACAGAGGATCCAAAGCCATGAACCCGGGGCCGCTGAAGCGGAGCCCAGGAACATAACCACTCGGCCACGGGGCCAGTTCCCCAAGTAATTTTAAATACTGTTATGCCACGTAACATTTAATGGGTCACTTCTCATATAACTGAAAATCACTATTGAAGGACACCAATAAACCACCAAGGTAGGAACAGCAACTCTGCCTCTAGCTTACATGCAGTCTACTGGATGGAAGGGAGGGAGGGAGGCAGAGAGGGAGGGAGGGAGGGGGGAAGGGAAAGAAATCAGAGTTGTAGTTTTGGCATTACAAGCACTGACATTAACAGCCTCCGCTAGGCTACGGCGGAGGTCCATGAGACCTCCTCCAACAGGCCACTGCTTTCAACTGCACACTTTAACTCCCTGTGCTAATAAGCGCAGATAACTAAGCAATTGTTTCCTTAAAAAAACAAAATCGAGCTGACTTTAATTAACTCATAAATTGCTTCAGCAATTTCTCAAGTTTCTCAAGATAGAATTCAGAAGAAAAACACACTAAATATACTAGAAATTTTATACTTAATTTTTTTGTTTTTAAAAGTGAATTTTGGTATTTTAAAGTTAACTAATACTAAAACAGTTAACTAATAAATGCTTATTATGAAAAAATCTAAAGTTAGAGAAAAAAGGAAGAAAATAATTGTTAATAGTCTTCCCATTCAAAGATAATCACCATTAACATTTTGGGGTACTTCCTTTCAATCTTTTTACTATCAAAGATTTATAGTTTTTGAATTTTTAATTTGTTTATAATTGAAACTATATATAAAATTTCAAATCAAATTTTTATTTAAAATTATGACATAAGCATTGTTCCATATTGCTGTGCAGTCTTCAAAAACGGCATTTCACACTGCATGGCATTCTTTTGAGTGGATATACTATCATTTCTTTAACCATTCTTCTATAGTTGGACATTACTTGCTTCCAAACTTTCCCTAAGAGAAATACGGCTGCAATGCGTACTTTCGTTCACCAGGCCTTTGCTGCGTTTGGGATTATTTCCCAAGGATAGATTTGTAGAACTGTAATTACTGGGGCAAACAGTACAAACATATTAAGGCTTTTGATACACTTCTCCAATCGCTAACCATGAGGGTTCTGCCCAGCAGAAAGGTACGAGCACACCTATTCCGCTCCACTCTTGTCAGCAACGGGTGCTACTAAATCAAAACGAAACAAAATGAAAATCCCCCTCCCCCACCTGGAAGTACCAATTTAATTTCTTTAAACCTTTTATTATGGAAGACTTAAAAACAGGCAAAAGTAAATGAAATAGTATAAAGAACCTCTGTGGACCCACCCCAATGTCAACAACTACAGCTCTTGGCCAATCTCGTTTCACTTCCGTCCCACCGACTTTCCCCTCCCTGTGCTATTTCGAAACAAATAACCGCCATGGATGGTATCATTCCATCTATAAATATTTCAGTCTGCATCTCTAAAAGATAAGGGCTCTGAAAACAAAAAAGCAGAACCAGATGCCATCCCACATCTAAAACAACAGGAGTTCACCAATATTATCAAACCCCAGTCAGTCAGTGTTCACGTCTCCAACAGCCTCATAAGTGCCACATTTTAAAAATTTGCTCGTGACAGGATCTGAACATAGTCCACACAATGCAGTTGGCTGACATGGCTCACAAGTTTCTCCCACACTACAGGTATCCCTCTCTCTATCCTCTCCCCTCATTTTATTTGTTGAAGAAACTGGGCCATTTTTTCTAGAGTTTTCCACAGCCTGGATTTTACTGATGGCATCCCCGTGGCGTGCTTTACATGTTCCTCCTTACTCTGTACTTCCTGTAAACTGGTAATTAGAGGAGATTCAGGCTTGATTTTTTGGCAAGACTACTTCATGGGTGGTGTTACTATCTAGGAAGCACTTGAGGTCAAGCATCTCAGCATGTGACGCTGGCAGCGGGGACGCGTTAGTTCACCAGGGGTTGCAGACGGTCGTATTCCAATGCGATCATTCAGTCTTCATTTATTAGTTGGAACATTTTTACAAAGAAAAACTTCCCCTCGTCTATTATTTGGTTACCCAGTGGTAGAGTTTATCATATAGACAGGAGAAATGCCCAGTTCTTTCCCTTTATTTACCAGTTCTCAAAACAATGCATTGGTTTACTAGTTTTCTTCCAATGTGATGGGTTGGTTTTTTTGCCCCCAACATTCTTATAAACTCACGGATTTAAACACATTTGATGTATTTTTATCTGATGCAATTATTCTTCTTACTGATGCTCAAATTGTCCTGCTTGAGGCCAGTGGGCATCTCCTTGAGGTTGAGTCCTTTCGTCATCACCTTAGTCTTTGCTGGCTTCCTTGCTATCTGGTACATGATACTCTAGGCTTGTCCTGTACAATTCCTGCCCGAGGCCATGAATCAGCCATTTCCTCAAGCAGCTCTGGTTCTCTTCAGTGGGAAACGGTATTTTAAGACCACAATAAGGGCAAGAGGGGCAAATAATTTTTGATAGGTTAAAATTTTGGTTTTTCATTTTATGAATCTAAATTAGAGTGAATATTTTCCTTCTCACTTTTTTTCTTATCCTATATTCATTTACATATTGAGGTTTAAGTGTTTTCTTTTCTAATAAAAAAAAGACACTCCACAGTCATACTTCCCCATGACTACTCCCACCCCCCAGTCACGCCTCCCTGCCATGGTTCCCACTCCCCAACAACGCCTCCTGCTACTCCTTCCACCTCCACTCCCACCCCCACCCCGTCAGACCTCTCCCCACTCCTCTTTGCTCTGCTCTGCTCAAAGTCCTGGGATAGGCTGGTTCTCCAGCCGCACCCTCGTGCGCTGCGGCTTCACAGAGGGAAGGTGTGTGAGCGCAGGAGGCTCATTAGGAGTACCCCAACGGCTGTGCCTTTACCGGCTGTAGTAGCTTACGGACAGGGAATGCCAGGAAGTCTTGCTCTGGTTCACTTTCATTACCTTTCCAGTCCGTAAGGCTCTATGAAGCTTGTCAATTCTTAGTTTTTACAGAGCCAGAAAGGACCCTGGCACTGATCTAGGTTGAATATGCAGAATACGGCTTTCTGAATTTTCCACATGGTTGTAATAAAACTGTATACACAACTTTGAGGCTTTGGAACCAAGCCTCAGCTGTGCTACTGGAAAGCTTGGCCCAGTTACGTACCTTCTCTGAACATCAGTTTCCTCCCACCTAATGGGGAGAACAACAGCTCCATCTCAGAATGGCTACAAGCAGTCACTGAGACAATGCACTGATAAAGGGTGTGGCATAGGCCTGGCACAGAATACGTTCCCAGGGGCAGCTACTGTTACTCAGCCCAAACTCTGGTCTAGACTTCGCAGAGGAAAAATGATTTGAAGCCAGTTAACATCAAAGCTGGAACCAGAACAGTTACTGCCTCCAGTTCAGTGAACTTGCCACTTACGTTAATTTACTCTTTTGCTGTCACACTGGGACTCAAAGGAAGCTGCAGAGCGGGCGACAGTTGTGGGCACTGAGGTCTGAACAAAAATGTGCCTCCTGATGAATGACTACCAAGCAGAAAGAGGCTGCAGGCACAAGTGTAGGGCAGTTTAGGGGAAGATACAAAGCTGCCACGTGGGCTGATCTAGCCAGACCTCACTGACTCCCAAAGGAGGCCATTCAGTGCGAAGGTCAAGTGCACTGAGATTCAGTGTCACTTCTGCCAGTTTCAGGCAGTGTGACCCAGGGCAAGTCAAACAACCTCTTCTGCCTGTTTACTCAGCTGTGAAATGTGGAGGGGCCTGGTGAGGAAATCAAATGAGACGATCCATGTGAAACACATGGTTACAGGTATGGTGCACGACAAAACTCAACAGCTGTCAGCCTCGTTTCTCTTCAGAGTGTGGTGTGGTAGAAAGGGTCAGATGAGCCCTTTGAGCTCTGCCATCAAGGAGCTTAAAGCATGTTCTCTAACGTTCTTTCCAGCCCTCATTGTCCAGCCCTCCTCATTTGGGAGACTGATATGGCAGTGAATCATATACAGGCCAATGGACACTACTCTAGAAACGAGCCAACACTGGCCACAGTCAGAGGCAAAACGCCCAGGGACAGGAGCTGCAGGTCGCTTCTTGGCAACTGCTATCGGATACCACAAATAAAGCTAATGCCATCTGGTAATGAAGCGGCTTGCTGTTGCCAAGGTAACACTTCTATACCGAGCAGCACATTTCCAAAGAGCTCACTCACTACCCCTCCTGTGTCTGTCCCCGTGAGTGTTCAAATGGCAAGTTGTGAAAAGTCAGAGGAAGCAGCGTGCTTGCTCAACAGGAACCAAGGTGCACTTGAAAAGGAAGCTGGTAAGCCTCTCATTGGGGCATAACCCTTCTAGGGAAGTGCCCTTAGAAATGCTGTCACTGCCTAGCCCCTTGTCAGGGCTAGCTGTGCTCTGGGCAGCTGCGGCTGAATTGATGGTCTTCTCTATCTGGAATTGTTATCTCCATGGCAGGCTGCGAGATGCTGCAGCAGTGAGGGGGATGGGAAACTAAGAGGTACAGAGGGAAACTGGCTGCTGCTTCTTTCTAGGAAAACTGTAAAACTGGATAAAGCCTAGAGAAAACTGAGTCAGACCAGTCGTAAAAGGCTGAAACTCTGACAAAGCCGTGAGAGAAGATAAACTGGCTGTCACAGCTTGGAAGAAGAGGCCACTAGCACTGCAAAGAGCAGGGCAGTAACCAAATCATAAAACGAAATGGGGCTATGTGACTTGGAAACCAAGAGGTCAAACCAAGGGATCGTCAAAGATAAAACTGATGTTCTCCCATGCTAAAGGCCACTCGTTTTGCTCAACGGGATGAATCAGTTGTGCCTCTGATGATAAAATGCAGTGCAACATGGTGTAAGGTAAGAGAGGAAAAATGAAATTGGAAAGCAATTCCCACGTATGAACTAGACTTGAGATACAAAGTCGTTACAGGCCCAAGAGGTGAACGATATTTTTCCTTTTGACAAAGACCCAGGAAAAATGAGGCAGACACGCTGACTTTAGGTTCTGTCTACCAACAAGTCAGACAATCAACTTATCAGCAAGGCAAGAGAGCACGGAAGTTAGGTTTACGGACTCTAGGAGAAAAAGTGACCTGAGTTTAGATCTTGGCTCTGCCCTTCCTGGCTGTGTGATCTGGGATAAGTTACTTGGTCTGCTAAGCCCCAGTTTCTCACCTGTCAACCAAGGCTAAGGCAGTTGTGAGGAGGCGATTACAGCAGACATGTGACGTGCTTAGCACCATGACTAATGCATGGCAAGAGGTCCATCAGCGGTCAAGCTGCGTCACTCTCTTTAGGCCCCCTGTCATCGGGAAAGGCAACATGGTGCAGGGCCAAGAGCCAGGGCTTTGGAGCCCAGAGGCCCAAGTCCAAGTTCTGCCTCTGTTGCGTACAGCAGTGCGGCCCTGGGAAAACCAACCCACATGAGCTCCAGCTTTCTCGTCTCTAAAACGGAACCCTTTATAAGGAAGGACTGGACAGCTAGTGCTATGAAGTGTCTGGGGGGTCACTACTGGCCCTCACTGCATGGTAGCAATTGTTAATATTACTGCAGTCATTATTTTTAACAATTATTAAATACCTCACCTAACAACATCAAGTTTATTTTCCATTAGGTGGCTTATTCCATTGATGAGTGAATTTGAATCATTTTTAAGAGCCATCGATGCTAACAATTTGAGAACTTCTGATCTCCCTGAACTCATTCCTCTCTTCTAAAGGCAAAACTGCCCTGGATGGGGGGGGGGGGGGGGGGAATTTCATCAAAGAGGACTTAACCAATTTGCCAAGTCTCATTAAAAGGTTTCACGACAAGGTAGGATTAAGAAATAACTTTCCATTTCATACAATAAATATAAATTTCCTCACAACCTTCGTCTCTCATCCCTCTGTGTCCCCCTCAACATTAACAAAAAAATTCACAATATTATGGTATGAAAAATCCCCCAAATTGTCAAAATAAAATTTAGTTCATTTTAATCTATAAAACACACACTCAAATATATAACATAAAGTCTTTCCAAGAAAAAGGAAAATATGCCTGTATAAAAATAAGGCATCCTGATTCCAAAAAGATCTTATAGGAATGAAATGGGATACAGGTGACAAAAGGAGAAGCTGACTATTGTTTTCTCAAACACACTGAAAATGCCAAGTTTCTCCCAATAGACTTGAAGAGGAACCCTCATCGGCACACACTCTGACTTGTCCCCTGTACTGAACAGGCCAGTAAGGAAGCCCACGGCACTCAGTGTTCCTGCCTTGCTGACCCCACCTGCTGCTCAGGGAAGCAGCTATTTTCTGTTCTGGGTGGAACTAGCTCGCCCTGGTGTAGGTACCCAGTTCAAGGGTGACTCTACATAGTGGTCTGGGACAGAAGGCTCGCCCATATTGGCTAGGCTGGGTAAACTGCCTCCTTCCAGAATCTGGACTGGAGAACATGGAGAAGATTGGGAAGAAAAAACAGCACTACTATGAGAAGGAGGCCATGTAGGAAGAGAGCGGGGGAGGAATGAAGGGAGGTGGGGAGGAGGAAGGGGGAGACAGACAGACGGATGCACACCAGAACCTAGAGCTGCCTTGGATTGCAAATGGCTAGCCTTTCTAGTTCTTTCCTTCCTTCTACCCAACAATTATTTTTTAAATACATATTATGTGTAGGCAAAGCATTAGGCACACAAAGATAAATGAAATAGATAATCATGGAGCTAACAGTCTAGTGGAGGAGGCAGGCAACAAATAAGTATATAAGTAAATAAATATAATTTGCAAAAAGTTTTGAAGAAAATGAACAACAAGGGGAGAGCTTAAAGAGAGATTATTTAGGTAATCCCTATGAGTGAAAAAATGACATTTAGATCAGATAATTCAATTATTCATTAGTTCATTCAATTCACTCAAACATGTATTAAACACCCACTGTGTGCAAGCATTGGTCTAAGGATTTGAGATGGAGCAGTGGACAGGACAACATATCATGAGTGTACATTCTTGGGGGGGGTGTAGGCAGACAGTAAATAAACAAAAAATATATCACTTGTACGGGGCCACGAAGGCAATAAAGCTGGACAAGGGGGTTGGCTCAAGTTCGGCTGAAACCTACCGGGTGAGACCAAGCAGGTCCCCGCAAAGTGCTGCGGCAGTGCGGTCCAGGCTAGGAGGAGCCTGTGCAAAGGCTCCCAGTGGGAAAAGACCGAGTGTCCGCGGACCAGACGGAGGCCGGCGGGCAGGCAAGAGAGCGGCAGGCACTGGGTGAAGGAAGGCTCTGGGAAGGAGGTTAGTTTGAGTTGGGGTGAAATGGGAAGCCACTGCCAGGTTTTCAGCAGAGAAATGACATACCTGATGTGTGCTTTTAAAAAACATATTCCTGGCTGCTTCTTGGAGGTATCAAGAGAAGAAGCGGGAGCCCACGAGAGGGGACGATGGCAGCTTTGACTAGAGTGACAGCAACAGAGAAAGTGAGAAGCCGACAGATTTAAGATAGAATAGCATGATTTGCCGATAGACTGAATGTGAAGGAAGAAAAAGGGGGAAACAAGGAAACTTCTAGGTTTTTGGCTTAAGCATCAGGTAGATGGTTTTGCTATTTACTGAGATGAGATGAGGAAAAAGAGGAGAAAAACAGGGAGTGGGGAAAATCACTTCCCTTTTGTTAAGTTGAAGATACTTTTGAAATATTTAAGTGCAGAGATGTTAAATGGGCAGTTTGGACACTGGGGCTCAGGGCTGAGGTCTGGGCTAGATAGTTCAAGTTTACGAACATCATAACAGGCCCTCGTTTTCAAGGTGGCCTGCGTGAATTCAGATGAGCTGAAACCCACGCACCTGAGCACATTATCTGGGCTCTGAGGGGCTCAGGGGTGCTCTTCCCTGACAGAAGAGGGTCTGCGGACTCAAACAGCAACTGTCCCTTTGACCAGGCTGATTTAACTCCAAGTGAAGGTGGCCCCCACACAGATCTGCCACCTGCCACCTGCATTAGCATGGTACCATGGTGCCCTCTGCGGCAAACTCGGCCCCGTTAGAACTCCCCTTCTTCTGTCCATAACCTGTTAGGCAGCACTTGGCTTTTTAATATTTCAACTGTAGGATGTGTGCCAACTTGACCTTGATGTAGAAAATTTAATTCAAATCAATACGTGGACAAGGTCACTTTAAAATCCAATTAATATGAATGGGAAAATATGCCCTACAGTTCTGTGAGCTGAAAATGGAATAGTTGCAAGTTAACAACAACAAAAGAGACAGCCACACAAGCCTGGTTGGTCCTTCTGTGTTTGATAATGCAGCTAGCTCTTTTCTTAAATACATGCAGTAGTTAGAACACTGAAAAACTTTTTTTTTTTTTGGCTTCTATTTAGGGTAGCTTAAAATTAAACTGTAGTTTGTTTGAAGAAAAACATAAAATGTACTGAAAACTGTGAATTCCTATAACCCGAGTTTAAATAAATTAAACCCTGGACTTCAACTCGCCCCGGAATCCCTAGAGAAATCTAAGGCGGTGACATTTTTGGAACAGCAGCAATCTGCACATGACAGGGCACACACACAGCACTGTTTGCAGTGATAACCATCACAGAAGGGGAAACTGAGGTACTGGAATTTCAGTCTTATTCCCACATGTGTTATGTAACCAGGACTCAGGACACTTCCTCCTCCGATTTACCACCCCTCCCTCTACATTTCGCTCCTCATTAATGAGAAACGTTTATTTATTTATTTATTTTTTTAAAGATTTTATTTTTTCCTTTTTCTCCCCAAAGCCCCCCGGTACATAGTTGTGCATTCTTCGCTGTGGGTTCCTCTAGCTGTGGCATGTGGGACGCTGCCCCAGCGTGGTCCGACGAGCACTGCCATGTCCGCGCCCAGGATTCGAACCGACGAAACACTGGGCCGCCTGCAGCGGAGCGCGCGAACCCAACCACTCGGCCACGGGGCCAGCCCCGAGAAACATTTATTTTATACCAACAAATGATAGGAATGTATTATTATTACTGGGTTCTTCTGGGTTGTTCTCTTTTCCCTCTGCTTCATTGCTATCCCAGTTGGAATCTCAGCTTTTCCACCCTTGAACCTGGTTAGAATAGAATATAAATAATCAAGTATCCATCTAAAGAGGAAAAAATTGCTTTGTAGCTTCAAGGAATGCTACAAATGAGGTAAAACTGGAATGGGATATTAGGGGGTGTCAGTGAAATATCATAAATCTATTTCTCAATTTATTTTACATTTGGATATTAAAAACAAGAGGCTGCTGAAGGGACCGCAGCTGAGCTACATGAGGAAGGTCCCACACTTTGGACAGCTTTTTCAGCATCCTGGGAATCCTCACTGATTTGAAGTGCGGATGTCCTGCAATGTGGAGCTGAAAAGGAAGCTTCAACCTAAACACTGCCAGCTAAGGTCACGAGGCAATTGTGTGAGCGTGTGTGTTCAGCTTTACAGGTTACACTGCAGCAACAAATTAAAAGCAGCCCAACTCTGCAGCCAAAGGACAAGCTGCTGCCTTGCACAGTGTCTGTTCTGTTCCCCCTCATGGACTGGTTCGGAGGATCATTTTGCATTCTCCTTCATTCGAAAATCATACAAGCCAGCAGACTTCCCATCCGTCCCTCGCTTTCCCCACCAACCTCGAGTTACCTCATCTGCTGCTAGTATTAATGCTCTTCACACACTCATTATTCTTTAATGATGCCTGTTTGTAAATAGCAAGATGGGATGCAATTAAACCATGAGAGGCTAAATAAACACACATGCTAATTAGGATCTTTACAAGAGATTTTTTTTTCATGTATAGACTGGAATTTACCTTTCATTAATCTAACTTAATTGCAATAGTGCACCAATAAAGAGTCAACACAAATTAAGTGCTCTAAATGATTTCTCCATATTAAGGGTGAGCAAGTGATCCTTCCTTTGGGTAACAAGCCACATTCTGCAGCAGGAGGGGACTAAATGGGAACACAACATGGCTAAGCGTTAGGGGAAGGGTTTCAGCAGTGAAGCAGGTACTGCACCATTATCATGATGCTGTTGCTTCAGATGCCTGAAGTTAATGAGGTCAAGGTCATAGGTTCAAACTGCAGCCTCATCCCCCTTGTGAGTCAACTAGCTTTGCTAGGTTCCATGGTAGCAGACATTACCCCTTACATTTGTCAGCTTTCTGTCACTGGTTCCAAGAGAGACAAAGCAAAGGTTTGGATCAATCGGTTCAAATCCATTCCCACTCCCAGAATAATAATGCCCAGGAACATCTGCTTTGTGGCAAGGCAGTACACAGTAGCTATTTCTGTACGAAAAGGACATCTGTTATTTGCAGGAAAAGAAAAGTGTTTTAACCTTTGATTCTAGAAGGTGTGAAAGATTAGATACATTTGGCAACTAAACTGAAACAATATGATGGTATATCAACATTAGATATGTTTTTTGCAAAGGCCTCAGAGCATTTAACAATTTATTCATTCAACAAATATTGAGCCCTCTAGGTAGCAGGTGCTGGGTCAGGGTCAGGAAACTACCCTAGGAAAAATGTCACTCGCTCCAAAACTCTTTTTATCTTTTACATATTTTACTTGTCCTTCCCTAATCACTGCTGCTAAATCCTGTATCACCTTCCTTTCTTTGTCAAATATAGACACACACGGATACACAGAGGCCGCAACTTCCCTCTGGCCCCGCAACTGAGCCGGCAGCACCACTGGCTGGGAACCCACAACTCTGCGAAAAGCTGGATCCTGAGAGGTCCATTGTGACAAGACGGCTGAAGCAACCCCCCTCAGGAACTGAGACCCGACATTAAACTGCACAACTAAGACAGCAGCAACCAGATTCTTCAGTTCCTGATTTTAAAATAAACACTTGGTAAGTTCTCCATGACAACATTTCCCAAAGTGTATTCGTGAAAAGGGGTCTGTAGTCAACTTTGTCAGGGAAACTGTGTACGCATTATCCTCCTCTTAAAGATTCAGTGTACGCAGGCCTGTTAAAGGCTCTGAAAAGGACTGCGGGAAAGGAACCTGCCTAGTTTTGTTCAACCAGTGAGCGCTTCCTAAACCTACTGTGCATATCAACTTCCTTAAAAAAAAGTGTTCCAGGAAATTTGCTTTGGGAAACACTGTTCACATTACTATCTGGAAAGAACAATGTGCCTGTTCGATCAGTCGCCAGCAGCCTGGGTTGATTTTTCCAGTTTACTACTACACCTTACCTCGACCTCGTTCGCCCCCACTTCACTCCTGCAGGTAGACAGAGGACAGCAATGCTGCTCCTCCCTCCCTTTCCTCAGAGCCTGGAACCCACTGGACCTGGGTCCCCTGTGCAGCAGACCAGCAGAGGCTCCAAGGACAGAAAATGGCTCCCTGACACACTGTGGATAAAAATCTATCAACTCTAAGATACTTAATTGCTCCCAGTTCAAGAACTTTCAAAGATTCACTCTTAAATTCATTTTTATGGTTACATTATAAGCCTCTGAAAATCCTAGCCTTGACAACATCACCGACAGCCCTCACTTAATCACTCTGGTAGATCATATATAAAAACAAAACAGAGAAAAAAAAAAAATCATTCCATGTTAGTGAGCAGATGTCTAGCCCATTTGCAATTAATACGACCCACTTCCATACAATCAGACTGCTTAAAATTCCTGGAACAAGATGTAAAGTTAAGATGCAAATGTTCTGATTTTAATGAGAATGAATGGAAACTGTAAAACCCTCTCTCCCTTTGAGGGAAGGTACGATCTACATGTAAGTCCCAACTGCACACTAAATTTATCAACAAAACAATCATTTGATAAAGCCTGTGTGAAAGAAGAAAATAGAACTGGGAAAGTCAGAAGTATATTCAGACAGCATTTCCTACCAAAATTAGATGGCATCCAAACCATTATTCTTTTAAGAAGCTTTACAGAAAACTTGACTCATTTCAATACATCTCCCCCAGTCACCAACATGTACTAGGAGCTTCTTGCATTTCTTTGAATCCTTGTGACATTTTCATGGACAGAGCAGAGGGTGACAGAAAAGACCAGGACTCTGGCGCTTCCTGGATCTCACTTCAGATCCCAGCTCCTCCATTTAAGCTGACCTTTAGCCAGTTATTTAACCTTCTGAGTCTCAGTGTTCTCGTCTGTACAATGGTGATAACTTCTTGTGTTGAGGGGTTGGTGTGAAAATCAAATAAATAAGTATATATTAAAGGACTAAATAGAGTTCCAAGCACACAGTAGGCATATTAAGTGGTAGCAATTATTAGAATTATATTCATGGTGGCAGGAGCATACTTTTCTAGGATCACAAGACAAGTTCACCTTTCACTTTTACTTCTCCCTGCTCAGAAGGCCCTCCTGTCAGCTTACCAAAATCTCACCCCTTCCTGGATGGTCCCACTGCCAAGTCTGTCCTGGAGTCTGCTTTCTCACCAGGCAGCAGTGCGTTTCTCAAGTTGCGGACCCTACTCAACTCCATCTGAATTAAATACCCCAACCCCCCTTCACCCATCAGCTCTGGGGTGAAACTGACATCTCCAACAAGCACCCGGGAGTCTGGCGATGCTCTGACCACTGGTGAGGGCCCAGCATAGGCAGCACGTGGTCGGTCTGTGTTGAATTAAACAACAAAAACAAAGAACTTCAACTCTCATAGCACTTGCTCGTGTCCCTCGTCTTCATTCATTCATTCAACGGCTATTAACGGAGTGCCTCCTTTGTGCGAGCACTGCTTTAAGCCCTGGAAAAATGACAAGGAACAACAAAGAATATGATAAGACTATATTTTTGGGGGAACTCACAGTCCAGTGGGGGATTTGCTCAAGGATGTGAGTAGAAGGGCAGGGCCCAGGCACTGCCCTCCTTTATCTTTTGTGATTAGCACAAGCCCTGTGGAAACCAGGCACTCAAAGAGTATTTGACGACAGCAATGAACAAAATCAAGATGGTAAGGCTTCAAAGGCACAATAAAATTCTTAGAGATTTGGTAGTGGTTGAGAAAATCCAGAAATGGGGGGGCCACGTAGCACAGCAGAAAGAACACGTACTTTGGAGTCAAACTGACAGAAACTAAACCTCGGCTTTGCTACTTATTTGCTAGGTGCCACCTTGGGCAGTTGATTTTGCCTCTCTGTGCAGTACCAACCTCAGAGGGCTCGTGTGCGATTATACTGCCAAACAGCACATTCATGTATTTAATACACGCTGACTGGGCACTGAGCATGTGCCAGGCACTGTTCCAGGCACTGGGGACACAGCAGTGAACAAAATAAATCTCTGCCTCCACAGAGCTCGCATTCTAGTGGGTGGAGATTGACAATAAACTAATAAATAACATGCCATTTGGCGAAAATGCTATGAAGAAAAATAAAGCAGGAGAAGGGACAAAGTGGCAGGGGCTGGGGTAGGGTACTATTTAAACAGTGTGGTCAGGGAAAACCTAGAAATCTTTAGGAAGTAAAGGAGAGAGCCAGGGACAGAGTGCACAGGTGGCACAAAGGCCCTGAGGCAGGGGCAGGCCTGATGTGTTCTAGGAGCAGTGAGAAGGCCAGCATGGCTGAAGCGGAGTGAGCCAGGGGGCAGGAGGTAGGAGACGGGGAGGAGGAAGTGTGTAGGAGGAAGGGGATGGATCACAAAGGGCCTTAGAGATCATGGTATCTCTAAGTGTGACTGGAAGCTAGCAGAGTCTTCTGGGCAGAAGAGTGACACTTTAAAAGTAGTACTCTAACTGCAATGTGTAAAGATTACAGAGGTGCAAGGGTAGAAGCAGAGAGGCCAGCCGGGAGGACGCTGCAACAACCCAGGTGAGAAAGGCTAGCAGCTTGAGCTGGGGTGTGGCGTGGAGCTGGTGAGACAGGAATGGACTCTGGATATATTTCTGAGGAAGAACCCACAGAATTTATCAATAGCTTGGTTGTGAAGTATGGGAGAGAAAGAATAGGCAAGTCTAAGAATTCTGGTCTGGGCAACAGGAAGAATGGAGGTGTCATTTTCTGACCCAGGGACCAATGCCCAAACAGCAAGTCTGGAAATCAAGTGGAGACGTCCACAGGTAGACGGATTTGAGGCTGAAGTCCAGGGAGACACCTGGACTAAAGATGTAAACTTGGGTGTCATCAGCAAACGGAACATAGTTAAAACCCTGTAATGTATGAGATCATCCAAGGAGTACGAGGAGGCAAAGAAGGGACTAGATCCAAGAATCGAGCCCAGGACACGCCAATGTTTTGGGAAGAGGAGGAGGAATCTGTGAAGAAGACTGAGAGGGACTATAGTGCAGGCGGAGGAGGCCCTGAATAAACAGTAGCTAACGCTAACAAAGTTAACTTCAAGGCAAAGCCCAACGAAGCCCCTACTCCAGAACTCTGTGTGACAAACTCCACCTCACTGTAATGGAAAAGAACTGGAGAAATATGGATGCTCGGTAAAATAAGCCTGATCGACAAGTAGTCACCTCAAAAGCAGACACATAGGCTACTACCACGTAATTTTAATTAAAAATATAATCCAAGAATGAAGGGGAAAAAGGAAGATAAGTATTCTCATCTTATGTTTAAAAAAAGTTCCCACGTTATTACAAAGGATTTTTGAACAGAAACAAAGGAATTTTCTTATATTCACAACGTTTGTGATCAACAGTCAACATGGTAATTAAGTCATGAACAAGGCCTACAAAATTTCATGATCTTCAACAAATGTCTAGCAGAAATTACTACAACTCCCCTCACTGGTTGACATTCCCAAGCTCACCAGTGGCTGGCTGGCACGATTCTAAGCACGCTGCCCAGATTAACCAGGTAAACTTCACAACAACCCCCTGAGAGGACTCTGGTTAGCTCCATTTTACAGAGGAGGAAATGATGGCATAGAGAAACTAAGTGATCACTCTATGTCATACAGCTAGAAGTGGCTAAGCAAGGAACTGGACCTCAATGGTATGGCTCCAGAGCCTGAATTCTTATTATAGTTTGCTTATGAGCGGGTTAATTATGATGATGAGGAGGATGATGACAACCACTACTCCTATAACTACACATAGCACAATTAGTTAAATTACTTTTAATCAAAATTCAATATAATTTATATAGTTAATAATAACATAGACCATATTAATGTAAACTCCTACTCATTTTTTAATTCAATTGCCAACAGAAATGGATTGTGTATGTCACTTTTATTAGAATCAAGCAACTGTTTTATCTCAATGCACAGACACAATGAAAAGATTAACTGGAGGAAAAATCAGCTGTGTAGATTGGGATTAGGGAATAAAGTACAATACCAAGATAAACTGCTTTTAAAATCAGTTGAAGATTTAATATAGCTCTGGAAGGTTTCAATTATTTACATGTTTGGTCTACGCAATGTAAATCCAGGCTAATGAGATTCAGTTGCTGTGTATAAATCTGAAACAGGACAACCCAATTGTCTACAGAAAATAGCAGCTTGGGCTCCTGTGTTAATAACTCTTCAAAACAAAGATTATGATTCGGGAAGAGTAACATCATTTTTGCTTCACATTACTGACTGCAGTGGGTTTTGAGAGAAACGGCTGCAAACTCTGAGACAAGTTACAAGGGATTCAAAGAATCAGTGATCAATATCGCTGTTTTTCTAATAACAAGACCAACGAGAATAATTTACATTGTCTCTTTGTCCTATGGAATTATGAAGTCCCAAGAGAACGGTTTTTCTTCGTAAAGTTCCCGTGTCTAGTACAAAGGGCTAAGTAATGCTATGTAACAGCGTGGAACACAATAAATGTTAATAGGTAACTGGCCAGAGAGCAGCACTTCCCCTTTAGGATATTCATAAAGGCTTTGTGCACAACAGTACATGATATTGTGGGTACCGTCAAATGGCATTTTAAAGCAAAGTGATCCATTTAAGATCAGTCCATGACACTTGTGTACACAGTATATGCCTCTAATACAGGAATAAACAGGGCTTTAGGAGCACAAAGGAAATAACTATGTCAGCCTGAAGAAGTAAATGTGGGCTTCTTGAAAGGTAACATTAGACCCCAATCTCACAGAATGCACAGCAGGTTTGCCAGAAGGGGCAGAAGGTGGACAAGGACCCCACAGGCAAAGGGACTAGCAGGCACAAAGCACGGAAGCAAACGGGCACGGAGTGTCTGGGGAACCTCGTGGTTCCTAAGGAGCCTCTAGAAACGAGGAGGTATTTTCACTCATCACAAGAAGTGGGGAGAGCTACTGGCAGTTAGCAGTTTGGGGCTAGGGAGGCTAAACCTTCTGTGGTGCACCACCAGTTCCGTATAAAGAGGAACTGTCCCCTCCAAAATGCCAGTGGTGCCTCACTGAGAAACAGTAGAGGGCACTGGGATACCCAGGCCGCGGAGAGAGAGGGAGGAGGAGAAGAGGTGGAAAGGTAAACTGAGGCCAGACTATGAAGACCACATAAGCTTCCCTAAGGAGGAGGGCTTTATCCTGCAAGCAGCAAGGAGCCAACAGAGTAGGGGACGAGCACGGTGAGACCTGCCCTTTGGAATGATCGCTCAAGTGCGCAAGATGGAGTGGAGGCAGAGCATCCAGACACAAGGAGATCAGGGGACCAACTAGAAGGTTGCAGCAAGAGATGAGAGCAGGGAAGACGGACAGAGGGCTGACTGGGAGATGCGAGGCAGGAGAGACAGCTCACCAGGAAGCATGTGTATGGGGATGGCTCACTGCTAAAGGTTCTGATCAGGGTTATCGTTCACATAGTATTTGATCAATAAGTATTTGTTACAAGAATGAAGATAAGTATTGGAACAGAGAGCTATCAAATTGGGGGCAGGATGTAAGGGAAGCAGTTTGGAAATCAGGTACCCTGAAAACAGACCCAACACTTACCATTGAATAAAACTGAATTAGACAATCTAAAAATAAGAAAACATTAAGGTAGTGGTGGTACTGTACATTTATTCAACCCACTTTTCTGAATTTTGAACATACACAGTTTCACCCTGCCTCAAAAAGGCAAGTACTACCTGTTTCTACCCGACATTAACTTCACATAATGTATTCAAAATATTTTTAAACTAAAATCCAGTAAAATTCTTTGGAGTTGGAATAGCTTTCACCAACATTTAAATTCACTATTGTAATGCCAGCCCAGTGAAATACACCTGCTAGGGTTGGTGGAATGTGCTTCCCAACCTTTTGGGGACAAATGCAATTGAAATGTGTTGAGGGAAACTAGAGATATGAATTATGGGCTTTAAAAGGTATCATTAGAAATGATAGAATCTGATGATTATTGCCATATTAGCATTTTTTTTTTTGCAAAGAAGGAGATTCTAGGGTGCCCAACTGGGCTATCACTAATTTAGACTAAATATTTTTAGGGAATCTTAGGGAAACTGTCAATTACCAC